ATGCCTTTTAATTCTAAATAATTTTCTTTGGCGCTTATGAGGCCATTATACAACTTAAAAGCGTCCCAGCCAATAATGCCTTCCATTTCTATCGGAAAGGTATCGGGGACTACGTGCAGATTCATTATTATACCGTTAAGAGGTATTTTAGTCGTCCCTAACGTGCAGCGTGCTCCGTGTGTTACGTCAGTTATTAGGACTTTTTCTCTGTTTCCATTTCTTTTTCTATCAATACTTTTATCATTATTTCGACAGATTACTTTTTGTTTTTTAAATAATTTTTGTAAGCAATCATCAATTAAAGTTTTTGTTAGATTTTTAAAATTTTATACATCATAATGACTAGAATCCATGTTTCCAAAAAAAAAAAAATTAGTTAAAGATTACTATTTGAATTTTTCATTGTTTGGATATCGATATTCAAAAAATTAACTATAACGTGAACATCAAATAAATCTGAGAAACGTTTGATTTCAATACTTCTCCCATTGGTCCCATTTTTTGACATTTTGTTAATATAATTTATTTTGGAATGTTAATTTAAGTATATTTTAAAGAAAAATAATACCATGGGCAGATTTTATATTCTATTAAATGTCAATAAAAATATAGAATGTACGTAAAAAATTTTAATATTTATTTTTATACTTGTTACGGAATACTAAAACAAAATAATTTTTACACTTGCGGTTTTCTGATTATTTAAAAAAATGCAATAAAAGTAATACAAATGAATTTTAAGTAATTAAAGATTTACCACAATAAATTTTTAAGTTTTTGCGCCACGGGTTTGGGCGCAAAACGCGCAGGAGGGCAAAGCCCCACTTATATTTGTATATTTTTGGCTATATTTATCGCGATCAGGATGTTACATTCTATTATCGTTTACTAGTAGTACGTAAAAACCAAAAACCGATTTTCTTGTCGCACAGCCATACTATACGAAGCCAGCCACTTTAAACCAAGTCAGTCATTTATTGGCTGACGATAAGAGAGGAGTTTTCAACCACGAGGCAGGGTAACCTAGCTACCGACAACCTTACAATACCCTCACAACTTTAAGCATTCTATCAGGTAACATTGATTCTTGGCGGGTTGTGCGTTTGACAAATCTTATGGTAAAGCTATGAAGGAGAAACAAACTTGAGCCAACGTGTCAGTCTTCAACAGTCAAACAACACAAACAAATTTTTACCTTGAATCACAAAAACGACTCATTTAGTGTCAAACTACCTTGCCAATTAATACATTACAACATAATTAAGTTGGCAAAAAAGAGCTCTGAGGGCTCACAAAAGTTTTAAACAGTGTTTAGAACTACAAAGGGCTATATCTAAAGGACAACTTTAAATGCTTTCAATGTATACAATTTTGAGAATCAAGAAACTGACTCAGAACATTCATTGAAATTAGAACAGCAGCATCAAAATCAACGAATAAATGAATCATTCAGTGATGGAACAGCTTTTTATTACAACCCTGACACAATTCACTCAAATCATTCAGCGATATAAGTAGGTGGAGTAGTATGTATTTGTATTCATTGTGGCGCTGAAAATAGAGAGATTAGGCACCAAGATTTTATTGCTCTGGTAGTAAAGTTTTCTGTTAGCAAAAAAATTTTTAAATTATACATTTTTTGTCTGTTTTGAATTTTTACCATCTGAACGAACATCTCTTTTGATATTTTATAACGTAAAAAAATGTAAATCCACAACCCTTTTTCTAGTGCTAACAACTATCTCAAGGAACGCACAGCATTTTTTAGCATTGTAATATTTTTTTTTTTTTAACGTCTTTACAGCTTATCATTCAAACAAAACTGCATAGATTTCAGAAACAAATTTTTTTTATTAGAAGTTTTTCATTCCGAGAACTGTCAAGAGTCTGAAAACATTTAGCATTACATGTCAACATACTAAGGTGCTCTACTCAGTGAATATTAGGCGAAGCCGATACGAAGGAGCTGCTAGTTTTTTATATAAACACGGTTTAGAAATATAGAAAAGATTATAAAGAATCACTTAAGTAAAATTTACGTAAGAAAATTGAAAATCTTACTGTGTAATAAGTTTGTTAAATTGCTACGAAACTAATATCAAAGCGATAGAGGCAAGATGACTAAAGCAATGCGAAAGGTCAAGTTTGTTATTAATCATTTTATTTGTGATTATTTATACTATTAAGTTGCGTCTGCGCTATAAATAACAAAGTATTTTAGTGTCTTATTGCAATAAAATGTGCGTTTATGCTCCCTGCCTCATACATTCGGGAAATCTAAACAAAACGTTGCAGAATACGTAGGTATAGATTGGTCATTGAACACAAGGAATACTTCTTGAATTCCTAGGAAGACTCTCCTATGTACATTATTTGAGTTATAAATTTTGAAAGGATAAGACGCAATGAAAATCAAATTGTCAATTCGTACAACCTTGTTTGAATAAATCATTGACGGAAAAAAAGATATTATGTAAAACATTGCTTGAAAATATTATGAAAAAAAAGAAAGAAAATAATGGACAAACAGTTGTTAATCCAGTTTAAATTAACAAATAAAGAATAATTTATTAAACAACGCTCCTTATAAAAAAACTAATGTAAGAAAAAAAAAAAAAAAAAAACTAGTGGACAATTGGTGGTTGGATAGCTAAGTATGAAGTCATACTTGATACAACCATACTTGTGATATTCTATCATATTCTATGGCAGACAATGTATGAATAAAAATATACCTTTCATAAAACAATATTGTGTACTGAGGTGGTGCTGTTATCGTTAGAATGGGTATATGTGCGTGAATAGACAGTGGTTTCAATGAATATTTTGATATTCAATTAATTAACAATTATGAACGTTATATATTACGCAGATAAAAAAATTTTTTTTATTTAAGCTATAACTTGACGTGCCACCAGGCTAGGCAGTACAAGACTGTACATTTTTATCAATTCATCAAATGATCACTAATTTTTAATTCATATCCAATACTCATAATAAAGTTGTATCCACAAGGCTATAAAAAACCATTTTGTAGTATCGCTTTATCTTTATCTTTCGCTTTATCTTTATAATAGGATATTATCACGTGCCCTTTAATAGGATAGCATCGTGTTACTTCAGGGCGTTTATCACACGTATGATTTTTTTGACAAATACTATTTAAACATTGAAGGTACATTCGAAATAGCATAAGAAGTAACCCAAAAAATTGCAGATTGTTAAACTGTACTCTGTTTTTGAATGTTTTATTTTTAAAAAATTTCAATTTAACGTGTAACATCATAGAGCAATCACGTGAAGTTGCATCTATAAGCAGTAATCTCCGAGTATGTAGTATTCTCCCAGTTTTTTTTTATAAAAGATTACTTTTTAATAAAACTATCCAATTTTTAAATAGATCCAACACTTGTATATCCATGTAAGAAAAATGATTGCGGGATTTACGGCACATATGCGCTCCCTTACCGCTTTAAACTTTTACCCCGCTTATCGTGACAAACGTCCTTAAGTCAAAAAATTGCCTCTATCGCCAATTCCAAAAATTGTGAAAGAATGAATCGCAATAAAAGTTAATCTATGTATTTATGTATAACCTTGTATGAATAAACTATTAACGAAAAAAAGATGGAAAAATGTAAAACTGCTAAATAGTTTTATGAAAACTTAAAATAAAACGAAAAAATAATACAATATAAACAATTATTTATTCACAGTAAAATTAACAAATTTATGATAAACAAATAAATATTTACTAATAAATAGAAAAGCTGCTCCACTTAAAAGCTTTTTTTTATCAGTTCCAAAAAAAATTGTGTTACAAAAGTGGTTTTTTTTGGATTAGTTGAGGAATGAGAAATAAAGTTTAAAAACATTAAAAATAAATGCTATGCTGTAGTGACGAGGCAAGGCGTGGTGTTGAGAAGATCGGCGCAAAGCATATTGGCGAAGAGGGTGGGGAGTAAAATGTAAAATCTACTTCCATAACGTTTTTTCAAGATCAGAATTCCAAAATCGTTGATTTGCTATTGTACATTAAAATTTTTTTCAGTTTAGGACATGCACGACTAAAGTTAAATTAGAGAAATGCACATCTATAAAATGTATAATTTTACATGTCACCTGTAAAAAACTAAAAATTAAGTATATAATTTCAAACCTGTAGGTAGAAAAGACGCAGAGTGATGTCTTGAATCAGCTCTTCCGCCACATCCTCTGGGTAGAACTTTGCGCGGAACTTAAATTGCAGTGGATTTTCTTTTTTTACCTCCTGGCTAATTACCTGCAAGTATTATATTATTATTATTATTATTATTATTATTATTGTTATTATTATTGTCATTGTTTAGCTATCTCAACCCCTTTTATTATCTTTCTCAAGCATTTATCCCGACCTTTGAAGCTGGGCCTTCCCCCAAGGACCCATAGAGTCCACTCCATTAAATTTGATGGAAAATCTACTCTCTACCCATTAGATTATTTGTCAACCAAATGAAGTACAACTGTTGTTTGAAAAATTGTCAATTTCATAAAAACTTGATTTTGATAAATATTCATTTATTGCACATCTCTGTCTTACTAGGGAAAATTTATTAAAAAATATATTAGGATAATCCAATTTACATAGATACAGAATAAAAAATTATCGATAGAATGCATCCAGGTTTTTTTTGTTGCCTGGCGCAATATGATGAATCTAATTATATTTAAAATTTTTAGAGATCAGCAATTTTCTTTTACGATAAAATAAAAAAACAGGTTCAGACGTATGTAACTATCAATACTTTATTTATATCAATGTAAAAATTTCCAAAAATTCCTACATCGATTTAAAAAGAATACTAGCTCATCCTATATATATCATAAGATCTCTAGTTTTTAAAACTTTAAGTGATGGATGTTTAGAACATAAATCACTGTTTAAAATCCAAATCGTTAGAAGTTTGGTATGAGTAGGGGAAACACTATAGCGTTGCCAAGTCTTCAGGAAGAACTATGTCACTGAAACTACTCTGCACAAGTTTAGTAGTTGCGGCAGCATATTTTCATCATTACGTATTGAATGAAAACCAAACAAAAAGTGGATGAAGTAATAAAATTGTATCTTTAAGGATTACATTAAGTAAGATAGACACCAACAAGTGATCGTAGTCTACACAGAGGAACATTTCCCACTAGTTCAGAATTTAGTAGTAAAGAATGAAAAAGACTAAAGGGTTATTAAAATATTTAAAGTATTCTGATACAAAGATAGAAGAATATTAAAAGGCAAGAAATATTATGGAAAAAAGGTCAAGAAATAGAATAACAAGCATAAGTACGATGGATTGAGTGGACCACCCCAGTTTTTAAAATGAACTAAAAAGCAAAAAGTATTAGTGTGTTAACAAGAGCAAGATATGGTAATCTAAAGATAGGAAATTTATACTCGTTAAAGGAGGAAAAGTTATCGAATCAATGTTTCAATTGTATGCACTAGGCGGTACAATCTCTGGCATGAAGCATGTGCGCCATCTTAGATATATACATTCTAATCGGAAGAAAAAAGAAACAATGTTACTTGTAATTGCAAAACTGGATTTTGTTTACGGAATCATGCAGCGACCGTTTGTATTTTCATAAATATTCAAAGCAGAAACTCTAAGCGAATGAGTCAATGATATAGAGCAGACCTTCAGATGCCAAGTTACAATAATACCAAAAACGGCTGCAAATTAAAAAACTATTTTTCTAAACTTGGGGATTTTTGAGGGTCGAGTGTGCCCTCGGTAGGAAAAATAGGTTCTTACCTGGTTCGCATACAACCAGGGCCAGCACAAGTTCCTCGGGCCTGGTACTCGCGATGGCGACATGAGCCACTAGGTACAAAAACTACCATTTCGTTCCCCGTGCCCAATGCTCTGCATCCTAAGGTACGCTTTCCGCCCACGGGTGGGTTGAAACATTCTGGCCATGACAAGTCCGAAGTTTGTTACCGAGGGTGCAACGTAATTGGCCGGCGAAAAGTGTGCTCACCGGTGCAAAGTTGCTCTTTCCCCTTCGATACAAAAAATTTCGTTCTCACCTCAGGTAGAAACATACAATAACCGCGCCCTTAGGGGCGCAAGTTGAACTTTCTCTCCCAGGTAAGAAATATACAATAGGAAAAAATGAACGGTGTTAACTGGGTTCTATAACTACGGAGGGACCTAAAATTTCAATTCCTTTTTTATCAAATAATAGCCTAATGAGCAAAATCAATAAGTTAAGTCAATGAATGATATAATCATAGCAGAGCCAGTATTAGTTCATAGTATTCAAAACAGTATTGTTTTAACACGTGGGCCAAATACTACCAGTAAAACTAAAAAAAAAAAAAAAAAAAAAAAAGCACAGAGTAGCATGCTTTGAAATAAAGTGATAATCAGACACAAAATTTATCTCAAAGAGAATTCATTTCCCTGCTAAATTTACATCCCAATACTCCTACACAAAAGTTAAATAAGATGACATTAAATTTGAGACTATGGTACAGTCAAAATCAACAACATAGTTTCAAGAGATACCTCGACATCATAAGTAGCTCAAAAGCTCATGATATTAAAACTTGTCAAAAAAAATATTGAAGAATTAGCATATACATTCTGAAAGCAGAAACATAAAGGTAGGTACTGAAGGTACGTTGTACGGTTTGGAAATGGAGTCAACAGTTAAAGTAACTTTAAAAAAAAAAAACTGAAATGAAAGTTTTAGACAAAGGTTTGATCATTTAGAAAACTTAACCATTTTTATCTTGTAGTCTTGATGGTATTATTATAACAAATAATGACATTTTTTTATAATGAGAGCGGCAAAAGCAACGCTTATTTTTTGTTCAAACCAAAGACTTCTCGAATTAAAAAAATCACAAGTGTAACACTCAGACGTAAGTTTTCATGTACATAATAATCATAAAAAATATTTTACACCTAGTAACAAGAGATACAAAATTTTTTATGAAATTAATTTTTAAATTATAGTTATTTTATTATTTATATGTAGTACAAATATTATCAGCTCGGAAATAATTATTATTACCTTATTTCCATAAACTGTATCGCGTATCAAAAGTGTTAACGAGGTGTTGCTTAAAAAGTCAAGTTCAAAGTTTGTCTATTTATTCGTGTTTCACTCAAGGCAAAAAAAGTTTAGAACATCAACTGTGAAATGGCTGACTATTTTGTCATCTCTTAATCGTTTTTTTATGATTTAAGAACCAACAAAGCAATACCTTATTTTGGAATCTGAACCTCAAGCAGAATCTTCATATGATTTGAGCACATGATGTGTTGTTCACATGATCTTGTCCAGTATAGAAAGATTCCCATACATTTCCAAATATCAACTTGTCGATCTATTTCGACAAATAAGGTAATAAACACAGTTGGTTCGTTTTAATTGTATTTTTAGCAACACTTCGTCAAATATGTTTTTTGACCTTCTCAGGTTGTAAGAAATAAGTAGACCACCACAACTTATTACGTACATTGCAACAATTTTGAGTACAAGCACAAGACTAAAATTATCAAGTTACGAGTCTTTGGTACCCAAACAATAAAAAGAACACTCATCCATTCTAATAAAAATATAACTGTACACTAAAGTACAATAAGAAACTAATGAACATTGTTAGCGGCCGTTAGAAAATTAAAACTGAACCTTTACATATTTTTTATCCTTTATATTTAACTGTAAGCGATGGTATCTTTATTTTTATTATTTATTCAAACGTTGGTTAACACTACGCAATCTTTTATTGGCATCGTTAATAAATAACATCATTAATAGTACATGATGATAAAATGTGCGTGTCTTCTTTGAATAATTAATTAGTTAAAACTTATAATAAATTGCTTAATAATATAACATCGAAATAATTCTGAATAATAATAATGATACTTAAAATATTGTGATGTTAAGCAATGACAGAATAGAAACATTCAAATCCATCGCAGAAGCGTGAAAATTCAGTTGTGTCATATAATTTTACACACATCGATGAAACTAAGAGAGCTTTAAAAAAAGAAGTGATGAATCATAAGTCCATAAAAAATACAGAATCTGTAGTAAATGCATGTATCACTAAGCGCTCTCATAAACTAGTCTTTGGTAATAGAAAAAATTTTATGAACATATAATAATTTAAAAAAAGACTAATCTTTGTAATGTTGTATATCAACAGAGTCAAACATGTAACCAATAATAAGAAATATAGCTTAGTCCCTAGTCATATCAAAATTTACGTTGAATTTTATTTTGATATTAATTACGGAATCCTATTATTCTTTCGGGGACATGTGATTCGTAACTATGTAATTTCAATCTTAACTGATCATTCTCTACCACAATGTACACAGGTATGAAATCTTTCCATGAATTCATATTGTATTAATTTATTGTATTTTGCATGAAAAACCATGGTTTATTTTTTACAGTCTCATAAGGTCGGAAAATATACCTGATAAAACGGTGACAAAAATAAAGTCATCCAAAGCTAGCCACATACTAATCGAGTCAGTCATTCACTGGCAGACGTTACGACTGAAGTTTTCCACTACGAAGCTAGGTACCCCGGTCACCGACAACTCTAAATTACCCTCTCGACTCCAAGCATTTAACCAGGTAACACCGATCCTTTCCAGGGTACGTAGTGGTTGAAGTATACAAAATGGTCTGGAGACAACAACTTTTCAAATTAGATTCAAGAAGCTCAAATACGTATTCGGCTTTTCAAATAGTATCTCTAACTATTACGCAAGTAGTTAAATTACATCATACTAATTAAAACATTCGAATACATAATAAAAGAGCGGCTAACACAAATTCAGTGAAAAATATTAGAGTAGAATGTGCGTACATCGAATCTATTTAAATAAAGACTCAAAATAATAATTGAAAGGTACAAAAAGGCTGAAATTTTTTTTTGGAATGAAAAACACTATCTTAATTTCTTATTGCAGGTACAACATGTAAAAACAATGCTTTGTTTATAATAAAGCTTCTGCAATTATGAGAAACTGAAATTTTTTCGAAGAAAATCGATCTTACCAAGCCTCAAAATAATAATCAAGAGGTCATTTGGGACTAATTTACTTCCGTTTTTCACACCTAACATGATCCAATTATTTTTAGTATGGCGCATAACTTATCAACAATGTTTTGTTTATTATAGAGCTTCTGTTATTACGAGAAACTAAGATTCTCTCAAAGAACACTAATCTTACCAAGCCTTAAAATATTCAGTAAGAGGGCATTTACGGCTAA